TTCCTCTGTGGTAGAGTTGCAGAGAGCAGAGATCTCAGACACTGCTCTTTTTTTGACAGCTTCCAATTTGCTTGCATCAATATAGGTTGTACGGAACCTCGGGTCTAAAAGTGTGGCCATGTCCAAAAGTTCCTCTTTCTCCAAATCACAGTATTTACGTTCGAGGTAACGCATGATGTTGGCTTTGATTGTTTTTGTTAGCTCCAAATCTTCCTCCTCTGGCAGAAGGAGACTTGTTTTAAACAAATGCAGCACTGGTTTGATGCATGACACACTGACATATGATTCCCCTGACAGTGCATCAGTGAAGTTCTGGAGAGGTTTCACTGCTTTGTTGGTGGCTTCTAATACTTCCAAATCTTGCCACGTGGGAACAAGATGACGTGTTTTCTTGTCCGCACCAAGGACACGAGTTATTGCCTTCTCTTGCTCAAGAAAGCGCTCAATCATCTTTTGACGAGACCCCCAACGTGTTGGGGATTCTGAGATCAAAAGATGCTGGGGAAGTCCAAGCTCAGCCTGCACCTCTGTCATGTCTCGCCTTTTTTTCCAGCTGTAAGAGAAGGCTGATACAGCTTTTTTGCAGACCCCTATGGCCCGATCAATCCTTGGGTCCTTGGCGCCATTTTCTGTGATAAATGTGAAAAGATATTTAGTATATTTTTTGTCTCTCCAAGCTTAGGCTATAAGTAGTGTTTGATTATGTGAGTTTTGACAAATTGTTCTGTACTTTCATCACAATTGTAATAGCTGTGACAGTTTAATACATGATGTTGTATAATAAATGCAGCTTAAGGAAAAGTCAGGTTTATTAATTTATTACCTTATGTAACCCAGTCTAATTAAAAGCGCCCCACTTGTATGTGTAAACCAGTTGAAATATGTACCATGTTCTGGCTATTAAATTAATGAGCAATACGCTACAATGTGTAAGTATGTGTCTATTTATTCTTACACCAACTCTTACCTATAGCGTTGTGGAGTTTGTGTCCAAAACACTGCAGGCTGGGCCAGTTGTTATCCTTAAGAGCTTTTATGATGTTGGTGCCACTATCAGTTGTCATGCAAACGAGTCGTTCCTCCGAAAGTCCCCAGGAGCTGAGAGCGTCTTTTAAACCATGGGCAATTATGTCACCAGTGTGGTCCTCGGGGAAATGCGCTGTCTGGAGGCAGATGCTGCGCAGTGTCCAGCTGGTGTTGATATAGTGGACCGTCAGACTCATATGGCTGCATCGTCCGGCTGGACCACAGGTCCGTGGTGGCTGAGTAAAACGTCATCTTCCCCCAGCTCACCGCGGATCTTTTCACGAGTTGTATTGTACAGGTGAGGCAGCGCTACATCGGCGAAATACTTGCGACTGGGGACAACGTACCTCGCATCTAATACTTTTAACAGGCGATTAAAGCCTCGCTTTTCGACAGAATAAATTGGCAGCATGTCTGCGGCAATATAAAACGTGATAGCCTCTGTAATCGCTTTCCATCGCGCTCCATTCTTATCATAAGGCACACAGTTTGTAAAGCTCTCTAGAAGTGTAGTTTGCTTTTTAGCTGGTGTGCTAGAACTGCCGTCTTCGCTACGGCGCTGGCTGCACTTCTCCCATTCTACGGGATGCTTATTCCTCAGGTGCTGGAATAGATTTGTTGTATTGCTGCTCCCTGTAGCAATAGTCTTTGAACATGTTTTGCAGCGAGGCTTCGTCTGTCTTTCGTCTGCTGCATCAAACCCAAACCAGTCCCAAATTATGGAATTAACTGTGCCTTTCTTTGGAAGTAGTTCTCTGCTACACGCTGCTATTCTTGTTTTGACTGTGTTTACGCGGCGGAGGGGGCTGGCTCATAACGCTCTACGGTAACCCACAAGGACAAAACGCAAAAAACTCAGAAAAAAAATGTGGTGAAAAAAAAACTCGAGTTTGCAAAATAAAAATCCTTTTAAGCTACAAAATCGATAAAATCGATTTTTTGCCCAGCCCTAGTTCAACACAATGCTCCATTTTTGAGTCACATTCAAGAATATCTGCTTTCTGAGGCTATGGCCGAGTTTGAGGGCCAAGGATGGAGTCTTGTATTGATTTGTTTCCTCATCATATCCAGCCACAGACCTGACTGCATCAATCACATGGTTAAAGTTGGAAGGAATAAAGAAATCCTTAATTGTTTTCAGTTTCCCTGCGGTTTTTGCTTCGTTAATTAACCTACCGACTTCTCTCATTTTCTGCCTAATGTAATCATGCTTAGTCTTATCATGCCCGTGTTTTAAGTACAGGTGCTCTCAGAGTCTCAGAATCCCCTTTTCTGCTTTGACAACACCCGTGACCTCATCCTGATGCATTGCCCAAATTAAAGACCACAGCTTTTTGCTGATGCCCTCCGGTACAGGCTGGGCTAGGGAGCAGAGGGACTGGACCCTACTTCTACCTGGTTTAGCCTGGGCATCTTTCTGTGAAAGCCGGCACCTGGCCACATGCCTCCACAGCCACTTTCGCTTAAGCAATGCCCCACAGTCTATACAGTGCAAAAACTCATTGGATTTAACTGGGGAATTTGGCTGTTTAGCTGGGACTAAAGTTCCAATGCCGGCCTTTAAAACCTCAAAATTGTGCTCACGGTTTCCACTATTCCTGATCAAATCAAACTGAAGTTTACGTGCTTTAGATTTCACAGGTAGAGCCAATGCTCTGGCTACGTCACTTTCATTTCCATGTTTTCTAGTCAAATGACGGGACATTTTGTGGCAGGACATTGAACAGTAGAGGCAGAAGTGTCTCTTGCTGTAAACTCTCCCCCCATTTTTCTTCTTTTGCAGCTGCATGATAACAATCTTATTTGCCTTTGGTTCGTCACTTTCCGAGTCTTGAAGAAAAGTGTTTTTGATTTTTCTTTTTCCATACTTTTTTACAGGTTACTTCTTGACAGTTAAATCGTCAAAATCTGAGTCGACTTCATCAATTAGGGACTCTTGACTAAGCTGCACAAACAACAAATAATTTGTAATAATTCTATATAACAATTTGAAGTCATGACTTGTAGTCAGCACTTACCAGTGGTTTGTAAGCGTGCGCTTCAGTGTGCTCCTCCATGATGTCTTGCAGCCTAATGAACCACACACTTGCACCTTTTCTAGCCTGACACCTGATTTCCTCTGTTGTGCTGCTCCATGATTGGCTCCAGCCTGCTGGACTGAAATTGCCCCAGTGTGCCCCTCCTTGATATTCCGCAACCCACCACCAGGGTTCCGACACATAACACACTTTTTTCAGGAAAGTAAACCTCCAGGGGTCCTTTCCATATTTTTACAGAGACTGCATAAGGACCGTTAGAAAAGCATTACCCATTGATTATTAAGCTTGGACCAGTGGGGTCCGGTGTTCGGGCCCCACCACGTAAAACCAGTCCCCATGACGTGAGTGGAATCTCAGGTTATGGAACCCACCAGGAGTTGAAAACAAGTGCACGTCTGCTCCTCTACACACACGTCTGCTCCTCTACACACACGTCTGCTCCTCTGCTCACACACACACACACCTCTGCTCACACACACACACGTCTGCTCCTCTGCTCACACACACACACACACACACGTCTGCTCCTCTGCTCACACACACACACACACACACGCCTGCTCCTCTGCTCACACACACACACACGTCTGCTCCTCTGCACACACACACACACTCGCACTATGCGCTCTCATCTCGCTAGGTGTAGCAATGCTTAGTCTCTTTCCTCCTATCTGAATCACTTCAGATTTAGATCCATGATTTAGACAGTAGACACCGTGTGAGATTTCATAACACTTTTAAGCAACTTTTGTTAAAGTTAAACTCATCATTCTATCAATGTGCAGAAGCCAGTACTTTTCCCTTGTTTTGTCTATCTGAAGGCCAAGCTACATGGCACTGTGGCAGCTGCTGATTGGAGGTCTCCATGCCTCCGCTCTGTATAATACACTTGCATTCTGTTGTTCGTGTTGTCTCTACCATCGACAATAAAACATGTCTTCTGTCTGAATGAAAGACGCGATCCCAGACTGTCATCTTCTTCAACCGCTAAAGTTATTTGACAGCTCCGTAAAGTCTCCAAAGGACCCATAAAAGGACCTCTCAGCGCACATGGCCGCCCTCGCGCCCGCCTGTTTACAAATTGTTGAACATTTGCCATGTACTAGTCATAATGTACTTTTGAACAAAAAGTCAGAGGTCCATTTCAGCGAGAATTCTGCCAATTGTCTGAAAATTCTCATCCATATATTTATAATATATATAATATAAAAATCGGTGCATCCGCTTTTCAAAAAGCCAATATTTGCATAGCTTACATTTGCATGTTATTTTGTTTTGGTCCATGGCCATGTTTGTGAACAAAGGGATGGAATTTTTTTTTTTTTTTTTTTATCCGATTAATCGATTATTAAAATAATCGACAGATGAATCGATTATTAAAATAATCGATAGTTGCAGCCCTATAAAAAACCAATTAAATGTGAAATCCAACCAGATTTTTTTTCTTAAGTTTAATTTTTAGAGAAAAGAGGACTGAAACCATCACGTCCGTTACACATTATTCAAGGGCCATTTAATTAATAAATTTTTTTTTTTTCAACAATTCCTTTTTATATAAGTGATTTACTGATGTTGTGTTAACCAGGTTTATCTTGTGGGATTTCCACCCTTTTCAGACTCGGGACATTTCCTTTTCTGGCGTCACAGTAGAATGGTCCAATCTGAGACTGATTTGGTCATTTAAAATGTCGCCAAAATTATATTTTTCAATCTTTCCTTTTGATTTTATCCACACTATCTCTTCAATGTGTCTGTGTTTGAAATCTTTTTTTCTAATCCATGATAGTAATTTTAGTTTTTAAGTTATAACCTTTTAAAGTCCAGATACTTTAATTGACACTTTACTGTGAACACACTCCACTGTGTCATTTCTCACTTCTACCAATGTCAAACACATTATAATTATTTGACGTGTCTTTGTTGTGTTTGTTGCAGATCTACAAAGTCCATCTACAGAATGGTGTTCTCCTGTGATCAGTGTGGAAAGACCTGCAGCTCTGCTTCTGATCTAAAGACCCACCACAGAACTCACTCTGGAGGAAAACCATACAAGTGTGATCTGTGTGGAACATGTTTTACTAGAAAAGAAGGTCTCATGGTCCACAGCAGAATCCACACTGGAGAAAAACCCTTCAGCTGTGACGATTGTGATCAGAGTTTTAGAAAAGAGGGTAACCTCAAAGAACATCAGAAGATCCACACAGGAGAGAAACCATTTGAGTGTGACCAGTGTGAAAAAACATTTAGGACCAAACGGCAGCTCTCACAACATCAGCATGTCCACACAGAGAAACTTCACCAATGTGACCAGTGTGAAAAGACTTTTACACGTTTATCTAACCTCACTGATCACTACAGAATCCACACTGGAGATAAACCATTCGTCTGTGGAGACTGTGGGAAGAGGTTTTCTCACTCTTCCTACTACAAAAGTCATGAGAGAATCCACACTGGAGAAAAACCATTTGCATGTGACTTCTGCAGTAAAACTTTTAAAACAGCAACAGAGCGCACAGTTCACCATCGGAGCCACACTGGAGAAAAACCCTTCAGCTGTGACAATTGTGGTCAGAGTTTCTCTCGCAGTAGTTCTCTCAAAGATCATCAGAGGATCCACACTGGAGAGAAACCATTTGTCTGTGAAAAGTGTGGAAAGTCTTTTACACAAAGGTCATCTCTTCGTGGACACATTAAAACCTGCAGAGAAGCAGCTCTGAAGCCTCTGGAACAAAGTGAAGGAGACAGAGCTGAGGCTGCATCCTGTGAGCCCAGAGTCAGACTCTACAGGATCTCACTTCAGTCCGTCCACAAGTGCTGAGACCACTGGAGGATATGTGTGCATCGTGTTTACAGTTTAATGCTGTTTATTGGACGTTCTGAAAATTCATTTGTTTTGTTAATTGTTATTGTTTATTAAAAATTCAAATGTGTTGTTTGTGAACAAAGTAAAAGTTGACATTTTTCTTGCATCTGTCTTTGATTCTTTCTGTGATGGATTCTTAGTTTTCCTCTTCTACACTTTCTGTGCTTCACCTTTTGTTTCATATCAAGGGTTCACTTGTGCAAAGGTGGATTTCATAAAGTTAGAGCAGAGAAACCCTCTTCCTTTAAAGGAGATGAGATTGTTGACTTTGTCTTTTCATGTTTTAGAATGATAAATAATAACTGTATAATCACTCCCTATGGAGAGACCAGAGGGAGGCTTTTGTTCTAAGATGAGATCAGAGAACCTTATTGGTCCACAGTGGGGAAATGTCGGTGTTGCAGCGCACAGACAGAAGGGAGAGCACACAACACCGAGAGAAATATCTGTAAATGCTTCTTAATAAGAGCAATAAGAAGTGTTTAAACCCACAGTAAAATGACTTCAGGCTCTAAAGGCTCACAGGTACGATCACAGGTACGCTCACAGTTACGTTTACAGGTACGCTCACAGGTACGTTCACAGGTACGCTCACAGTTACGTTCACAGGTACGCTCACAGGTACGATCACAGGTACGCTCACAGGTACATTCACAGGCTGTAGCCCAGAGCAGGAAACATCCTCTTTTACCTTAAAGGGCGACTAAACACCTGTGCCCAGCCTGACTCCGCCCACATGAAGATTTGAATTATTTTCTTAAAAGGCCGTTGCCTGGAGGACCAAGGGACAAGAAGGGGGGGCTTAGAGTTGGGCGTGGTCTGGGCTGTGATTGACAGCTCACTTTTCACTCAAAAAAAAAAAGACAGTTGTCATTGCTGCTTAAAAAAATAGTTTACACACCAGAAAGTCTCATTCCACCCTTGTTTACACACTCAGATGTAAAGCTACACACCTGAACCTCATCCATTGATTTATCTCAGCAGCAGTGGTTGTCCACTCATGCAATTTCATTTTAAACCACTAGATGTCGCCAGAATACTCCAACCTGCTGCTGTGGCGTGTGTGAGAGTGAAATGGGTTTATATCACTGGGCAGAGAGAGGCACGTCACACACACCAACTGACGTCACACACACCAACTGACGTCACACCCACCAACTGACGTCACACGCACCAACTGACGTCGCACACCAACTGACGTCACACACACCAACTGACGTCACACACACCAACTGATGTCACACACCAACTGACGTCACACACACACCAACTGATGGCACACACACCAACTGTCACACACACCAACTGACGTCACACACACCAACTGACGTCACACACCAACTGACGTCACACGCACCAACTGACGTCACACGCACCAACTGACGTCACACATACCAACTGACGTCACACACACCAACTGACGTCGCACACACACCAACTGTCGTCACACACCAACTGACGTCACACACACCAACTGACGTCACACACACCAACTGTCGTCACACACCAACTGACGTCACACACACCAACTGACGTCACACACCAACTGACGTCACACACACCAACTGACGTCACACACCAACTGACGTCACACGCACCAACTGACGTCACACACACCAACTGACGTCACACACCAACTGACGTCACACGCACCAACTGACGTCACACACACACCGACTGACGTCACACGCACCAACTGACGTCACACACACCAACTGACGTCACACACACCAACTGACGTCACACACACCAACTGACGTCACACACGCACCGACTGACGTCACACACACCAACTGACGCCACACAGAATTACAGTCAATGGAGAGGCCAGGACCAAATTAAAATGTAGTACCACCGAAAAGGTAGAGAGGGCGCCACACAGAGGTTTTTTGGTGTTTAGTCGCTCTTTAAGGACAATGACACTGTTGACTTGGTCTTTTCATGTAAGTCCCTGTGCTACCACCAGAGGGACCAGAGAGAGACCTCCACAGTTACAGGAAACTGAGGTTCCATTTCTAGAGGAGAGACAAAGAGGATGTGTTTTATTTCACACTGATGGTTTTACTGAACAAACAAAAACCATTTGAACCCAACATTAATTCATGACAGAAATATCTGAGATTGTATTCGCATAAAAACATGTATTGTGGATTTCTCACATCACTGCAGTGAAGGTCTTTTTGTGTGTGTTTGTGTGTCAGTGATTGTGTGTTATCTTTCAATGGTGGTTTTACGAGCTGTGATAGTAGCTGTACTGCTTCAAAATATCTAAACTAGGTTATTGACAAAGTAAACAAAAACAGGGCAATAGCTGTTGATTTGCATGTTGTGTCTATTAAAGCTGGGGTACCTAAATAATCAGGTTTCCCAGACCCCTAAAAACAGTAGCTCCCCCATTATCGCCAAAATAAAAGCCCTGGAACACGTTGGAACTAACTTTAACCCAATGTCATGTGACCAACAGGCGATGAACTCTCCACAGGTGAAAGTAGATCCTCACGTTTCTGCCTTTCTCTCCATTTTGAAAGAACTCAAACTTCCAAACAGGAGGGAGCAGCAAAAGTGGGACTATCGTTGGTGTGATTCCTCATGTGTTCAATGCCCATGTGAGAAAAGCTTCAGAAACAACCATCTCATCTGGACTTTTGAAATAGAGGCCATTTTCCTGCCCTTCACAGGTCCTTCATGACCCATGCACGACAGTCCAAAAGTCTCCATTCTCCAACATTGTTCAGAACAGGTGACTACTGCTGTAACCTTCCCGATCATGTGACCAACACCACGTCAATGGAATCAGAGTCTGGACCAAGTCTCTCTGGACATGTATGTGAGCTGTCCTGGGTCAAGTACCCCAGCTTTAATGCTTTAATGCATCTACTCTTTGTCACCACTAGATGTCATCGTTCAGAGAGAGAGGACACTTCACAATATGCAACACTTTTATTCTGATAAACAGGAACTCAAACAAAAATATACACATCTTTTCTACAAATAAACATTCTTTTGGCTCGTTTTATCTTTTTGAAATTTGGCCCAAAACACTTTTACAAACAGCAGCAACTAACTGTGACCCAAACCTTTACCTGAGCCCAGGACACACAGGTTTACACTTCTGTACTCTGCAAACTTCATCTCAAATCCAAAAGTCCAGAGGGTCTGTGTCTCTCACATTGGAACGCCTCAGGACTCCACTCTGTTGTGTTTCCATCCCACTCTAGTATCTGGTACCGTATCCTAGCAACCAACCACAACAAACCAGTATTCGGGGAATGGTAACCATGGTAACCTTGGCCTCCATCAGCTTTCAGGCCAATCACTGTCAGTTAGAACACTTTAGTTTGGCCTGGATAGAACCAGGGCTGAGCTGGTACTATTTGGGTAGAGCAGAGTAGAGTAGAGTCGAGTAGAGTAGAGTAGAGTAAAGCTGAGTAAGTAAGTAATCTTCATTTATATACTGCCTTGAATTCACAGACCAGAGTCACAAAGCAGTTTACAATTGTTAATTTTGTGCTTAAAGGTGATGTCAGTTCTGACCATGGGACACTGTACTATTATCTACAGTAAGTTATATGTCTCGTGCAATAGGTGTGCAGTGGTTCTACATCCGTGGGACCAGAATGTTCAGACCTATCAGAGACCACAGAGAGACCAGAGAGAGACCAGAGAGAGACCATGACCAGTGAGAGACCAGTGAGAGACCAGAGAGAGACCAGAGAGAGACCATGACCAGTGAGAGACCAGTGAGAGACCAGAGAGAGACCAGAGAGAGACCAGTGAGAGACCAGAGAGAGACCAGAGAGAGACCAGAGAGAGACCAGAGAGAGAGACCAGAGAGAGACCAGAGAGAGAGACCAGAGAGAGAGACCAGAGAGAGACCAGAGAGAGAGACCAGAGAGAGAGACCAGAGAGAGAGACCAGAGAGAGAGAGTGAGAGAGAGAGATGTGTGAAGTGTTGCTCAAAAACAGAAGAAACCCCATAATTTTGGTTCCAAACGTGTGCGTGAGGCGGTCTACAGCAGAGGAGGGGACTCGGGATCAGTGAATAATTGATGTTTGCAGTGAGCCGCAGAAACAACGCCAGGATTCAGCTTCACTCTCATTCAACACAGAGAGA